TATATATCGCAGAATCATCTGATGTTAACGGGTGCTTTCAGAATTATAGCGCTTGCCAAATTGAAGATATATTTTTATTTAATTTTTTATTTCGACATTCCTTACTTTCCTCTAAAATTTTCTATTTTCTGTAAAAATTTTCATAATTTTAAAACTCAAAGTTCTTTCAAGACTTTAAGTAACTCTTGCCATTGTTTAAATAAATTGCCAGGATTATTTTATTGCATGCGAAAGGCCTTGATTTATTCCAAAAGATGAAGTTATTATGGCTTAAATCAAAAGGTTGAAACGAGTTATTATGTAGAGAAATTGTTGCGTTTCCGCATCTTAAAAATTTATTTCGCTCTCGGATTTTTATGATGTTTCTTCTTGTAACTGTTTGTTATTGAGAATTATATTTCTTTGTGTTTTAAATTTAATTTATAAGAACAATCTATAAGGAATTTTGGAAATCCTGAGAAGTGAATTATTAGATGACTTGAAAAAATGAGATCTTTTACAGTGTTCTGCAAGCTTTTCTCCGGATTTAATGTACATAATTTTTCTTCAATTACAGTGAGTTTTAATCCTGCTTGAGAATATTCCTTCCAAATAATCGAAATAATTTTATTTTAGAAATTTAATTTTCAAACATACAATCAATATTTTTGTGCCGTTCATAACAAATCACTACTTATCCAGTTGATTTGTAAAAATTACAATAATGCAGAGTTTGCACAGGCAATTATTTCGCTGTACCATATTTCCGCGAGTAAAATGAAAACATTTTATGCACTTCGTTAAAATTAAAAGTGGAAGTGTTGAAAATCGTAGTATAATTATTTGTGATTTAAATTGGGGTAACATATCGCAGCATATCTGGAAGATGATTTGTGATATATTAATAATTTCTTGTTCAGACATTAAATGTGTCAGTTTTTGTTCCCCTTGAATTTGACAACGATCACTTTATGCATTTTTAACTTGAAAATAATAAACATATCGGTTGCTTGATACTGTCTCCATTTTTTCTTAGTGGAATAAATATAAGGCAATAAAGTTGTGATGTTATGATGAAATACTTTCTGCATCTTCTAGTTATGGATATTTTAGTCTTTTTTATCCTGAAATGGTTATGTAAAAATTTCAGTACTCCTGGGATTATATGTATCAATTGTTAAGACGACTATATGAACAAAACTTTTTCTTGAAACTTGAATTTTGCATGTATTCGAGAGCGATCCTAGGGCTACTGTTGTATTCCTTAAAACTTTCATGTGTGCTGCAATCACATCTCCCGTATACCACTATGATGACAATACATGATAACGTTCCAGTTGTACATACAGGTGGCATCCTCCATCGTAATTTGTTCAATGGCCGTTCCAGTTGGGTCGCACATCCGTAAACATCGACTGCCCACCTGTAAGTTCATTTATGCGACTCATTCATTCATGAAATTTGATTTATGGTCATATTATTGATCAAAGTGGTTGTGTGTGGTTACCTGAAGTTGTGGATCATTTAAATTTAAATGTGTGCAGCACTTGCGGTTATCACGATTCTGCGATGCACAGTAAAGGATGCTAGACAAATACTCTAAACTGCACTTCCTCTCACGCAGTATTGAAATGAGCTGAAGTTTAAAGCGTTAGAGCATTATTAAGCTGCGCTATTCAATTATCCATAGTATCCAGGAAATTTTAGAACCATTATCTATCGTTATTTCTTCAAAAAAAGGCGAGTCATTATGAATATGTAAAAACGTAAATTTTTTAAATTTCCTAAAGTAATTTTTTATTCTCATTATCTGGAAATTCAACAAATCGAGACAATCTGTTAAGCATACAAAGAACATTTGCATATATATATATATATATATATAGTTGATTTCGGAAGTAAATTTTAAGAATTATTTGATAAATATTTACCAATTCACGCGTAGCATTTTGATTCGTTTCATAAACACACAATGAGCGGCATTCTTTTGGGACATAGATATTGCAGCATGACTGGAATAGCTTATCAGCTACACCTCGGCTGGTGCATGGCTTATATCCTAATTCAGCGGTACCGCAGAGAGGCTGCAAGATACAAAATATTGAGTATTAAACAGACAGTGATACTATAATGATAGTAAAATGAATTTCTTATTTAAGTATTAAAACCAGTTAGTTTATATTTTGAATACTCTTGCACTATTTTCAGAAAGTAACTTCTTGGATCTTAGATCAGTTTAATTTTATTTATAACGTTCTTCCAAATTTAAATCAAGAATTTGGGAAATATACCAAAGGGTGACCATGAAATGCGGGATTTGGTGAGCGTCTCAAGTCACTTCTCTGTTTCATGCTACGTTTAAACATCAAGATTTTGCGATCTGGACAGTTGTCGAGAATATGTTTGAAACAATGTTTTGGAATACAGTCAGATGTCCATTTCATAGAGCAACATCCCGATATTGGGATGTGCTGACATTCCTTTAGCTGTAATTCTTCCTTTCTATTTAATTTATAAATTAAAACAAAATTGAATCATATGTTTATCGGTGGACTCTCAATTCTCAACAAATAATTTACTTGCTTTATAAAATTTCACGCTTTTTACTTATTTTATTATACTTTTTCAGTTTCATGAATTAATCAAAACCTGCTGAGCGATTGATTGCTGAATGGAGAGTAAAGCCAATATGCATTGCCATAACATTATCAGAAGGACACGAAATTGAATTTAACTGTAAAGAAGAAGATAAAAACTGAGGAATTATCTCCGTTTCTTCATCCAATTCTGATTCTTCTTTTCCCGGGCCAATGATAAAATTGGAGAATTCCATTCATAGGAATTACTTCCAACTGAAGTATTTTTGAAAATACATGCAGTAGACACTCTAATACAAACAAATAGACTAAAATTGAATCACAGATGTCGAGAAAAACAAACGGAGAAGATTAGCGCGGCGGTTTTATAATTATAAGAATTCACAATAAAACCATTAGGAAAGTTTGATTTTACACCATAACTGAACAACAAGAAAGAAAGAACGGTAAAAAAACATATTTGAAAAAGACATACGTAAAAAGTCGTACATAAAAAGACAAAAAGAAAAAATATATTTCTTGTCGATTAATACAAGCGAATATTGTAAAGAAATGAAATCCTTTGTTGTAATATGGAAAGATAAAAAGAGGAAACAAATTATATGTTTGGGTGATAAGGAGGGGGATGGATAAGACTGTCTGGATGAATTAGAAAAAAATTTATTGCTGTGCTAGGAAAAAATTTGAATCGATGAAGAAATCTCTTGATGTTTATTCTTCCACTATAATAAAATTTATATTTAAATGAAAAAACTGCTTAAACTTCAAGAGAATTTAAAGAAAATAAATATCAATAAATTTACCTATTAGCAGATCTTATCCAAAACTGCTAAAAGAATTTGTTTGGTAATCTTGCCAATAGGTGAATAGTGTACCTTCTGGTAGTGAAAATTGTAATCAGGTTGAAATAATGGAGAATGATACATAATGATGAGAAATTTTCGGTGAAGTTGATATTGGGTGTGCCCCAGAATGAACCAGATTATGGTTTGGTGTTAATGTGGGCGACGATGACGGTGATGATGACGATCCCGGTGAATATTTGATATTGAGTAGCAGTCGTGTTGTGTCTACTCGGAAAAATCAATGAAGGAAAATCTGATGGATAAATGATTTCAATCTTTCATCATCCAAAATCTATTTTATTCGAACCATAAAACACATCAACAATAGTTTTCATCATAATGTGAAAGCATTACCGAAATTTTCATAATTGAAAGTAGCATAAGTTAATTTACTTCTAACATTTCATATTATTTGAAGTGATCGTTAACGATACAGGGAATTAATTTGGTTAAAAATTCGTAATTATTTAAAATAGTTGCTGAATTAATCTGAAAAAAATTCCGAAGACTTCTGGGGATAAATTGATAAGATGAAAATGAAAAAGCACTAATATAATTTTTCAACATACAACGAAAACCTAATAATTATTTCATTTAAAGCTTCTGTCATATCGTTTATAGATTATAAATAAATACTAAGAATGGAAAAGAATCTAAAAAGCACTATAATAAAAAGAAGTATCAATTTGTCACATACATATTTATATATCGTACAATATTGGTTATGACCTGTATAAATGTATCAAAAGAACCCGCTAAAAGTATCTATCGTGAGGGGAAAAAAATTGCAGAGCAAATAATTCTAGGCAATGAAATTTTTCGAAATAAATTGGTAAAATAAATACGTGAATGAGTGACTGATTTCTAAATATTCATGTTTATGATAAAATTAAGATTTCTCAAAATGGAGAAAGAAGGAAGAGGAGACAGTAATAAAAATATTTAAAGATTAATTAAAATTATTTCGAGAAAGACTATTCATGATATGAAAACAATAACTCGATTCTCTCTTTCTCTTTCACTTTAATTAGTTTAGTGTAAATTTCACTTTCAACAAACTAATTTTTTCAAATGATAGTTTTAGTTAAAATTCACTAAAATATTTGTTAAGAAAAATTGAGAAGAGGGCGAGAAAAGATAAAACTGCACTAAAAAATGGACAGAGTTTGAAACTTATCGAATTCATACCATTCAAAAATTAAATTGATTCACTAAGATGTCAGTGAAAATTCTACATCAGTAATACCTAACTTCAAAATTATGTAATTATGAGCAATAATAGAGGGAGATGAGTGCAAATATACAATTTAATAAGATATATTATTAGACGAAATGTATGAAGAGGAAAAAAGAAAAGAGAAGATTAATTTTTAATCATTGAATTCCATTTCCTGTCCATCAATCGGATCCATTTCGTGCGGTCCAACATAGCGACATGATTTTTGACTACTTGTAGATAAAAATGTCCGATAACAATTAGCATTTGTTAGACAGTCCGGTAGGGCACCTAAAAGTGCCGGTAAGAGAATAAGTCCGTGCAGTAAACTCCACGATACCACCAGAATGATTGTTTTGAAAAATACCATTGGTGAATAGCTCTACAATACAAAAATACAAAAAAACAGTTCAATTATTTTGCAAAATTTCTAATCTTTGGTTTTTTTAATTTAAAATTATCAAAATATGGTTATAAATTTTATTTCTAAGTAGATACCATTGGTGAATAATTCTACAATACAAAAACACAAGAAGAAAACAGTTCAGTTATTCTTCAACATTTATAATCTTTGGTTTTTAAATTTAAAATTATCAAAAT